GAGAGAGAAAGAGAGAAAGTGAGCAGGCAAGCCACCAGGTCCAGGACTCAAACCGTGGTTGGACATGTGGAAGTCCAGGGCCCTTAACCACCGGGCCACCTGCCAGCCCCTGACAAATAGGTCTTGAATGATGAGTTTTCTAGGCAGAAAAAAATGGAGGGGAGGTATTCCAGATAGAGGGATCAGTCTGAAAGATGTGTTGGTTCAAGAGCAGGGCATTTTCATTCCATATTGAGGAATTTGGCCTGGTTGGAGTGCAGACTATTTGGGAGAGGGAAGGAGTAATGGTAGGAGAAGAGTCTAAAAAACTAGGTTGAGGCTGATTTGTGAAAATTTGTGACTGCAATGCTAAGAAGTTTAAATGAGCTCATGTAGTTACGTTGTGCTCCCACAAAACATGTCACATTAGTTATATAGTCAAAGTTCTTATAAAAGATAAAACAGAGTTGAGTCATCAAATCTAAAGTTATTTAGGATTGGACTTAGTGAAAACAGAAAGTCAGCCAGTTTTAAGTTAAGACAATTATTAAGTAACTAATAGTACACATAGTTTGCAAATATGGTAAAATCATCAAGTAATAGTCAAATAACTGAAATTTGAGAAATATTGCTTGTACGGAATAAGAAGCCATTAAGATATTTTACATGAGGAGTACCATGATTAAATCTTCAGTTTCAAATGATGACAGCAGGAGGAGTGGAGGGAGACATGATCAGGTAGGAAGCTGGTGTTCTATTCCAGAGAAATGATTAAGCACTTGAGACTAGCGACTAGCGACAGGAGAGGAGAGAACAGATTTGAGAGACACGTAGGGGGCAGAAATAGTCAGACTTGGTGGATGTGAATATTATTATCAGTGTCATTAGAATTATGTCAAAGTCCATATGCTCCACTTGCACTTGTCTGTTATCCCTTGTATTCTACAACGAGCATCATATCATCAAAATGTGCTATGTTCATATGTGCATTAAAATAACAGTGGAGGCTGTCTTTACCATTGACAAGAAGGTTCGAATTACCCTGAGCATCCTTCCTGCCTTACTTAGTGTCCTTGAGAGCAGTGGCACAAATAGTCAATGCACTGGTAAAGAATATAAATATGAGACATCTGAGGAACTCCTTGGCCTTTTAAGACTCAACTCAAACATCAACACCTATATGAAACCTTTCCAACAATTCTCCATTTCCCCCCCCACACACACACACACGCACGCATGTACACAAATAACATTAGGCCTCTGACTTCCATAGAACCCTGGATTTCACCTCTATCTGCCAAATGCTATGAGATTAGCTGTTTGCCACATTTGCTCCCTTTGCTGAATAAACCAGTAGATGAAATACCCATAATTTTATTCTAGATTTCTCTAGCTCTCTTCCTCTCACCCTTCATTTTCCCATTCTGCCCTGTTTATCTTACTTTTTTCTTTCTTATCACTTATCCACCCACACACCTGTTCCTCAGGCCCATCTATTGTTCTGTTCCTCTTGGCATTGTTTACATTGCTGCTGTCCTGATATTTTGCCTAAAACATCTGTCCCCTACTCAGAAGCTCAGGTGACTCCATCCTTGACATCACTTCAAGTGTATTTCCTCCTACACATAGGCACTGCCAGTGGGACTGAAATCAGATAGTCCTTCTGAAGAGCAGTTGGTCAATATGTATCAGAAATCTTAAAAGTTGAAAATAGCTTTTAACCTACCACTTCAACTTCTAGTGCTTTATGCTGAGGAAATGATCACTTTGTTTCCAACAGTGTAGCTCCTAGGATGCCTACCCCAAAGTTGTTTATAATAGTAGGAAAAACAAAGCAAAAATGATATCCTAATGCCCAGTACTTGGGTTTGAATCAAATCAGTTGTGGTACATTTGTAGAATGGACTACTAAGTAGCCATGTAAATTGCTGTTACTAAGAATATTTAATGATGTGGAACTTATTTTTGATATATTAAGAGAAAATTCAGATCATAAGACGGTGAGTACAGAGTGGTAGATCCCAGTTTAAATATGTGCACATCTCTCTCTCTCTCCGCCCCACCCCCCCCACCCCCACATGCGCTACATCAGGAAAATCCTGTAATGTTAAACAAAAATAACTGTTTGTAGGACTTTGCTGTAAATGACTTCTACTTTTTGTAAACCTTTTACCTATTTTTATTTTCTAGTCTTCTACAATGATACATTTGTTATTTTTAAAACAGTTATTTTAAAAATGTTTTCCTTGGGGGCCACCAGATGACATGGTGGTTAAGGTACTAGACTACCACATGGTCGACCATGGTTTGAGTCTCGGACCTAGTAGCTTGAAAATCATGCTGGACATGAATGTGTGTATGCCCAAAATCTCAGGAGGAGAATGGAGAAGGGACTGTGGTATGGCCATTTCCCCTAGGCGGGGGATGATTTTTTTTACTTTCCCTCTGTCTCTTCAGCAAGTATGTGTTCCTTATGACCAAAAGAAAAGTTTTCTTCCTGTCCCTCCCCAATATTATTGCCTTCGTTTGGGGCACAGCCTTTCATCTCCCAACACACATACATCATGTCTAGCCTGGATTACTAGTGGCTTCAGCCTGTCTGCCTTCTAATCAATTTTCCACCAATGCTGACGGAATGTATTTTATAAATTGCAAATCTGAAGCTATCTGGCCTCAGTATAAAATAGTTCTAAGACTGCCCATTGTCCTCAAGATAATATCCAAACTTTTTAGACCAGCTTATAACATCTTTGAAAATCAGTTCTCTGATTTCTTCTTCAGCATCAGTTTTTTCTCCTACAGTTTTCATTTTATTGGGGCCTTAGGCCAATGCTAGGCACATAATAAGTGTTTAGTTAATGTTAACCAAATGTCAATGTAGATTTTATGTGTTAACTATTATGTGCCAGTTAATCCATTGATATTTTATTTAATCTACTTAGCAAACATATTAAGTGCATACAATAGTTATTCCTACTTTATAAGTGAGGAGAACTCTTTTAAATAAATAATAATGAGAAGAAAAGTTATCATAAGAACATTTTTTAAAGAAAATAATCACCACCACCACCATCCCCCATCCCCGCTATAACTCAGCTCTCTTCATTTTCCTGCAATCCTTGCTGGTCTTTGTCA